TTTCATTTAAAGCTCACAATATTGAGTGGGATAAGATGTTTCAGTGGTTCATCTATGCAAACTATGCAATAGTCTCAATATATATTTATTTGTCCATCATATACAGTATGATTAAATGTCAAACTTAATCTAATTTGATGCTATTAAACTATAAGTACTCAGAGACCGAAATACATTACACTTAAATAATTCATTAAAAAACAAATATTTATAATGTGAATTTTTGCATTTTATCTGTATGCTATTGCTATTCAGTAAAAAAAAAAAACATCATGAAACACAATAGTGACGTAAAATTATATGTAAATGAACTGTAAAATAGGGAAAATACATCTTTAACTTTAAATTCCAGGGAGATCATTTTTAAATCTGTGAAAAGTAAATTAAATTTAATTGAATTAAAACTAGTAAAATACAACAGTAGATTAAATCTACCCCTCATCCTCATTTATATTAAATGTGTTATATGGTTATATGGCAAATATGAGTGTAATACGCATTAAGCTGTTAGCAGTAACATTTTTTCGATCATTTTGACCATTCCTGCTCGCTTCTTCTTTTATTTATGTTCTTGTTAGTGAATCAAATAGAGAAACACAACATTGAAGTAAAAAAATACCTACAACCCTCATTAAGGTAGTTACTTTCACATTTTAAAAGGTGCCTATTCAGACGTGGAGCCAGTTTTGCTCTTGTAAAGAGATTCAGTAATGCATTAGATGATCTTTCACTGAGAGTCTTTCAAACGCTTTAAGTACAGTAGATTCAATTTCAGTAAGCAATCCTGTCGCCCACCTGGCTATAACTCCGAATGCAATGCAGGAAATATCCATGGCTAAAGCACTACTATAATCCATTAAATGACTCATATATTGGATTTATTATTAACCCTTTAAAAGGTTTGAACCTCCATGGATTGAATAGCATAGTATGCTCTGACTGCACATGTTAAAAGCTTAAAAGGCCATAAAAGGAGACTTTTTTTTCACTTTTTTACTTTTTTTTTATTTCTTTGAACATTTATTATAGTGTGGATTTAATTGTTAAAGTCATTTACTGTGTTTGCACATATCTTAATGTTTTGACAAAAATATATTGAACATTATACTGTTTCCCAAGGAAAAAGATATAGTTCATTGAACCCACTTTGACCTTTTTTGACAACAATGCACTAGTAACCTTTGGCCACCAGAGTGCAGTACTTTCTCAGATGCTTTTACAAAGCTATATAACTGACTCCCTGGTAGCCAAAGACCACCTATGTGTTGTCAGCTTTCAATATCTCATGCTTTAGAAATTAAAATGCTGTATTAAAAATAGTTTGTAGGGAAGAAAACTGTTTAAATTAAGATTTCCTTTTATCAATATATTAGTGTGGCATCTGTTAAGTAGTGATAAGCAGATATCAACAGGTTATCTGAAGCAGTAATTCTTCACCTGTTCTTGAGTTGAGTAAGCCTAGCATATATATCACGTATTTAGCACTTATTTTACAGATACATTCTGTGCTAACAATCTCATTTTTTTCTAGAAGAGAGTAAAAAATTGTAATCTGCCCCCGTGACATAGGGCTAATTGGGTACAACAAAGAAAAAATGTTTAATTATATGTACACAAAACAGCTATTCCAAGATCAGTTCCAGATTGATCTGTGCATTAGTGGTATAGATTTTCAGAGACACTTTCTGCAGGCTACAACGTTACGACAGTAGGTGGAGACGATTGGTAGGACCGAGTCATTGAATCACTCAAATAAATGATTCGTTTCAAAATAAAGATTTCAATTTTTCCTTTCTCTTTGGAGTGTTACAAGCTCTTGGTGCATAAAGAAGATCTGTAAAGTTGCAAAGACTAAAGTCTCAAATCCAAAGAGATATTCTTTATAAAAGTTAAGAGTCAACCAGGCCTACCTAAAAGGCTCATTCTAACACGCCCCCACATGTCTACGTCACTATGTGGAAATATTAGCATAATGCCGCCCAAATGTGCACGCAAAGAAAGAAGGCGTGGTTTCAGGAACAGCAGTAGTGTTGATGCAGCCATGTCAGGGAGACGCTGTGTTTCAGTGCGAAAGCAAAAGCACTTTATTTGGCCTTCCGGAAGTAGATGCAATTAGGAATCATTGGTTAAGATTTATTTACAACAGAACAGCACAACCCAGATGTTCGAATTTGTGCAACGCATTTTATGGACGACAGGTTTTTGAACCTAGAAGAGTACAAGGCTGGCTGTGCACACAAGGAGTGGAAAATGTTAGGCTACTATGTAATATAGATTTATTATTGAAAACAAAATGGTCTACCTCAAGGCGGAAGAGATCAGAATATTAATTGTCCGTTAAATCACATTATATTACTAGTCTTTTAGTCTGTATTTAAAGGGGTCATAACTTTGATTCTCGCTGTAGTATTGTTGTTGCCGTGTGTTTCGTTGTGAAAGTGAAACTACTTTGTTTGGCCTTCCAAATGCATGTTTTAGATATAGCTCCGATTTAAAATTCACCAGACCTATACAGTTCTGAGTGCAAATCCACTTTGATTTACGTAAATCAATGTGCTGGCATGGGCGTACTTTTCTCAGTGATAAATAAAATATTTTAAAAAGGTCCTAGCTAGAGGTTTTTCCAATGGAGTTAATCTATTGTTGTCAGGATTTTGCTCAGCTGTGTGGATTTTCTGCCAGAGAATGTTACATCGAAAGTATTTATGAGCATTATGTTTGTTTACTCTTTTAGTACAGATTTTGAGAAATTAAAAAGCACATTTAACAGCTGGATCTCATTAGTAATGTGTACTTATCCTGGTCCCCCTTTCCATAAACGTCTTCCATGTAGTTTCATTAGTCAAAATGTTATTTCAGGAAACATATACAGTGGAAATGTAGAAAAATATTTTACTGGCTCAACCCTCTATGCACACATCAGCAATAGAGTAGTACATTTTTTAGCTGACTTGCCAGATTATACATGGTAATTGTTTTTAAAATCCAACAATAATCATAAGAAAATAATATGACAACTAATTCTACCACTAATATCAATACAAAACACACTAAGGTCTGATGAACTGCTGGGTTAATGAACATTAAACCTGTTGTGTTGGTGAGTTAAAATATTATCTGTGCTCAACTTATTATAAGCCTGTAATTCAGTCACTGGCGATTGAAATCTAAGACTTGCTAACGATAAATATTATTTGTTTCCTAGCATGAAATTTAGTCACATACACAAGTTATCTGCTTGTAATGTAGAGCGTTGTACTTACACTTTATGCCATGTTGGACTGTTATGGGACTAGTTGAATATCCTGACACTTTTTTTAATTCACTTGTCATATCAGATGACAAGAGCATCACTATTAAAAAAAAAGATAATTCGAAAAAGATAATGATGGAAATTTCAGGGCCTGTAGTAACAATTTACAATCCCTTTTACATAAAGAGCAAGTTTCTGCATTACTCTCACTGTCAGGTCAGTTGGGTTGTTTATCAGTCCATTAGATGCCTGATGAGTAAAAGAATTTCACTGCACAAGCTAGTAACTTCAGCCTCTGTTGAACACATCAACTGGTCATGTCTGTGGATAAAACGGAATACTCTCCCATCTTTTCTTACTTTTGCATCAGTTTACGTATGCAAAACTTTAACATTTTCTGAAAACTTGACTCAAAGCACAATGAACAAAGAAAGCAGGTTACATCATTATGCAAGTAGGTACTGATAAGTGGCTTTTTGTGTCTATCGAGTGAGTCTTTGAATTGTTCACTCAATCACTTTGTTTAAATGTATTGATTCATTCAGGAACGACGCACCACTAATACCATGAAACAGAGTCTGCTGTGGTTTCATTTGCAACTATTTTGGCTGGCAGAGCAAAAAGGGACTAACGGTATGTGTTTAAAATTTAAGTTACTTGATATTAGCTTTTTGTTTATTGAATTGTGTTGATTAATTATTGCAATATGCAGTTGCTAGGTGTTCTAAGTAGATGTTAGCATGTTCCTATGCATTTGCTAGGGTGTTCTGAATGGTTCTAGGTAGTTCAGATCAGAAACAAAAATTTGAAGCTTTGCACACACGCAGATATATTTATTTATACAAATATAATATGTATAACAATTGCATATCACTTGTTATTTTTTTCGCTGTATAATAATATCAACTTGTCCAGCCTCAAAAATGCAAGTCATTAATTAGAAATTCTATAAGTAAACATACAAAAGGGAAGAGAATCCATTGAAATAAACTGATTGACAATCAAGGAACAAATCACCTTCACAGCTTGGAGTGATTTTGTCTATAGAATGATGACACGCTTATATGTTACCCACAGTCTGAGATTACTCAAAAACCAACCAACAAAGGAACTAATTTAAGTATCTACCAAAGTCCTACGGCAGGAAAACCATCAAATCAAATTACAATAACACAGATACAATATTACCTTTGATTACTGGTGGTCTTCAACTACTTGCTGATTTACAGTTTTGCTTCTATAAGACTTTAACTAACAGTACGACTACAGCACTGCAATTGATAGTTTGCCAACTTTTGACAGTTTGTGTTGAGGGCATGAAGCTGTGAAATAAAAACGCAATTTTGTAAATAAAAACAAAATTCAGTGGCTTAATGCTTGCTTTTTAAATCGATTGTCAAAACAGGACAATGTTTCTAGTGAATGAGGTGGTTGGTTATGTGAAATATAACAATAAATAACACAACAATTAATCATTTTTCAAACCTCTGAGATAATAAACTTGAAAATAGAACTTTAAAATAACAAAATACTATGTAATGATTTACCTCCATTTGTAGATATCATGTATCTGTGTTTGACATTCCATTTGTCCTCATAGTAAATAATTTCATAATATCAACTAGAAATGTCTGAACTTAAATAGAATATTTATGAATTAGAATTCATTTCAGTAGTGACATCACAACCATAAAACCGCATCAAAACTGTACAGCTCTCATGAATGCATGACCTGTTAAAGGTGTAGTGTGTCAGTACTGTGCCACAAAAACAAATTGCGAAAATAAGGACCGTTTCCAAACATTTCTGCTACTGGTTTCCAAATGTGAAGTCCTGCCTCAAACTCATGCTACTGGGTGGATGCACAAACAAATTGATATATCAATGCAGTTTACTTTAATTAAGGTGAAATCTGAGAAAGTATTTGCAAAAATGACACACTTTACCTTTAAATGTCTGCCAATACAATATGCCAAATGTACAAGATAATCTCTGTCAATGGCACTGTGATACAGTGATCTTATAAGAACATTCTGTGCAAACGATGTTTATGGTTTAGTCTGACTTTTGTCACATGGTGCATAAGATACAGTTTTGTAGCAACTTTTCCCTCAATTAATTTCTACGCTTAAAATGGGCTTTTTAACCATAATTTGACAGTAGGATGTGACAAAACAAGTGTTATTGCTAAATCTATTTTCTTTACAAAATATTCCTTGCTACAATATGGTATAAAATACCTCAGTGTTATCCAATCAAGGATGACTGACATAAAAAGCGCCAGAGACACCAGCACCAAAAGAACCCTTTGAAAAGTTACTGTACAGCACTGTGGCAACATAAATATAATGATAGTAAAAACAAATCATTGAATGCTTAAGAAATACATGTTGAGAAATCACATTATCACAAAACTACAAGAGGGACTTTTAAAGAGGGTCACAACTTGGGATTGGTTCCAGACAACTGAAATATGAACAAGCAAGTGTAAAACCATGTACTTAGTGCTATCCTTCCTTTATGCCATCATGTACATTTTTCCTAGCAACAATTTGGAACACAAATCATGGAGTTTTCAACCTTTTTGAGTTGTAGGTAGTTGATTGAAAGAGGATAGTCTTCACTGCAGAACAGTAAGGGTCCTCTTCTGAGATCTCTTGGACCTCCTTACATCACGACTGTGAGAGTATGCCAGTCTCACTCAGTGTCCTCTACTTTTTCTTCTTTTGGAATAGCCTGTAAAAAACCAGAAGGACAAAAGCTGAGAGACAAGTTGAAAGGGGCAGTCAAAATGTTGGTTGGTATTTTTGGCTATTTATAACATGTAATGTAGCAGACTGGACTTGAACCTTTGGTCCAATGTGACCACTATGACCCAATGTCTCAAGGGCAAGTACCAGTGTTGCAGTCAAGACTAGCTAATTTGAGTCAAGTTCAGGCCGAGAACTGAATACAGTAGGTTGAATCTGATTCAAGAGACTAAAAGAGCCAAGGCCAAATGCTACATAACCATAAAAATCTGGTCTTGGACTCGGACTTGGGATGGACTGGAGACCCCAGTACTGCAACACAAAGAAAGTCCAAAGTTGAGATGCTTAATTTTTGCACAAAACGTTGCATGTATCCTTCTCAGACAAGGCATTTGCTGAATGCATTATGACAAACCTTGAAGGCTTGAATATATTGTACGTTTCTGCTGATACAGTTCCATATTTATTTGCTAGCAGGTTATATAAAGATCACCTACTTTTTGGCACATTTTATATTCTTTTTGCTATGTGATTTGTATTTATTTCACAGAGATCTTTTCACATATCAGCCTTATTTTTTTAAGCTAGGAAAAATCACATTTTGGATTGTTCCTACTAGATATTTTAGTGTCTACATCAGTTTCTCAACCTTCGTAACTCCAAGGTCCCCCATTGTTAAAGTCAATACATGCAGACCTCTGAAACCCCCAACAGACTAAGATATTTCCTCTTGTACATCTGCTGAAATAACAAAAACACAAGTTTATTTTAGACATTAGACATTTTTATTAACAGAAACCACAGTTGAAAGTATACTTGTCTTCATTTCACTCATTGAAGAGTAAAAAAAACAAGCGCTTAATTTGTCAATTTTGCGTTAAATTGCCAGCTGTGCATGTAATTTTTCCCAGAGTTTTGTTTGGAAGACCTTTAATTAATTTCGTCCCTCTTCCCCCATCTACAATTGGAAAACTAGTCTTATTTGTTTTTCAGATGTGTGTGTGTTTGGTGTGGTTTAGTTTTGGCTGAGTGCTCTCTGGTCACTGCGGCTTTGCTGTTTAGTCGGCATGCCAGTCTTGATAGGGGATGATCTGGGCTCAACTCTCTCCCCATGATCCTCTTGCCCAGACATAATGTCCCAAAAATACTCAGCAGCTCACAAGCACATATGATTTTACAGCCAATGATTTAGCCACAAGCAAGAGATACATAAGTAATTCCAATTGGCCTTTGGTGATAAGTGTACAGAGGCCAGCGCCTCTGTTAGAAGTGTATCCACACGGACGTGCTTTTGCGTCGGCACTGCTTATAGCTTCATTTTAGGCTTGGCTTGTTTCTATCGCGAGGTTACAACGCTGCCAACTTTACTGCTGCTCAGAGCTAAGTGTGGTGTGAGGAGGTAATGAGGCGAGAGATGGGCCGAGTATCATTAATACAAGGAGATGTGCTTTGGTCTGTCTGGAAAAGACTCTTGACTAATAGAATTCTCACAGATTGTATTGCATTTGCAAAGAAGAAAGAAGTCTTGAGGAAATGAGAGTGCTGTTATTTCAGAACAGGGATAATGGAAGTGATAAAGGATGATGAGAAAGCATACACTTTCTCTTTTTATATAGAAGGGGAGGCACTGTTTCAGAAGCTACTATGGGGTGTGACAATGACATATCAATTAGCACCAAACTGAAAAAATGGCAGTACAAGAATACAAGAAGCCTGTATTTAATAATGCATATGTAATGTACTGCATGCGTTATATATAATGCATAAAATTCATGAAAGATATGTAATACATAAAAAAGAGAATTCATAATGACTTTTTACATAGTCCAATTGTGCATTATACTTTATGTAGTCCTTACAAAATCCGACCTACCTTTTCATAATGCATTGTAATGCATTGAAATTACGATATAATATATGAACTTGATAACAATTTAGTATAGGGACCAGTTCTCACTATTAACAAGTTGATTATTAGCATGCCTATTAATAAAATAGTGGCTGTTTATTAATACTTATAAGGCACATATTCTGCACGAGCATATTCTGCATCCCTAAACCTACCCAATATCTAAACTTAACAACTACCTTACTAACTATTAATAAGCAGAAAATAAGTAGTTTATTGAAGCAAAGGCGTAGTTAATGGTTTGTTAATAGCTGAGAATTGGACCTTAAAATAAAGTGTGACCTTGAACTTTATAGGGATTTGGCAACCCCAGCTGTTTCATTTACAACGTATAATCATATGACTGTCAAAGTTGTTTATGAGAACGTCTAGGTTACTTGTGTAACCCTCGTTTCCTGAAGGAGGGAACGGAGACGTTACGTCAGTCGTGACTGACGAATTGGGATCTCGCCCGAGAGCCCAATCACCTTCGAGTGTTAACTAAACAAGCCAATGACAGTTGGCGTGCGTGTTTCGCCACCTTTAATTAATTTCGTCCCTCTTCCCCCATCTACAATTGGAAAACTAGTCTTATTTGTTTTTCAGATGTGTGTGTGTTTGGTGTGGTTTAGTTTTGGCTGAGTGCTCTCTGGTCACTGCGGCTTTGCTGTTTAGTCGGCATGCCAGTCTTGATAGGGGATGATCTGGGCTCAACTCTCTCCCCATGATCCTCTTGCCCAGACATAATGTCCCAAAAATACTCAGCAGCTCACAAGCACATATGATTTTACAGCCAATGATTTAGCCACAAGCAAGAGATACATAAGTAATTCCAATTGGCCTTTGGTGATAAGTGTACAGAGGCCAGCGCCTCTGTTAGAAGTGTATCCACACGGACGTGCTTTTGCGTCGGCACTGCTTATAGCTTCATTTTAGGCTTGGCTTGTTTCTATCGCGAGGTTACAACGCTGCCAACTTTACTGCTGCTCAGAGCTAAGTGTGGTGTGAGGAGGTAATGAGGCGAGAGATGGGCCGAGTATCATTAATACAAGGAGATGTGCTTTGGTCTGTCTGGAAAAGACTCTTGACTAATAGAATTCTCACAGATTGTATTGCATTTGCAAAGAAGAAAGAAGTCTTGAGGAAATGAGAGTGCTGTTATTTCAGAACAGGGATAATGGAAGTGATAAAGGATGATGAGAAAGCATACACTTTCTCTTTTTATATAGAAGGGGAGGCACTGTTTCAGAAGCTACTATGGGGTGTGACAATGACATATCAATTAGCACCAAACTGAAAAAATGGCAGTACAAGAATACAAGAAGCCTGTATTTAATAATGCATATGTAATGTACTGCATGCGTTATATATAATGCATAAAATTCATGAAAGATATGTAATACATAAAAAAGAGAATTCATAATGACTTTTTACATAGTCCAATTGTGCATTATACTTTATGTAGTCCTTACAAAATCCGACCTACCTTTTCATAATGCATTGTAATGCATTGAAATTACGATATAATATATGAACTTGATAACAATTTAGTATAGGGACCAGTTCTCACTATTAACAAGTTGATTATTAGCATGCCTATTAATAAAATAGTGGCTGTTTATTAATACTTATAAGGCACATATTCTGCACGAGCATATTCTGCATCCCTAAACCTACCCAATATCTAAACTTAACAACTACCTTACTAACTATTAATAAGCAGAAAATAAGTAGTTTATTGAAGCAAAGGCGTAGTTAATGGTTTGTTAATAGCTGAGAATTGGACCTTAAAATAAAGCTGGAGGAATGAGAGGCCCGCGGAGACGTACATCAGCGTCATCAGCACTGCTTGCCAGCTGCTTCAATTGATTCATTATTTCACATTATGACATAACAGCTGAGTTTCAGACACAATAGTGGTCTGTTTTCAGAACAACGTTCCACTGGTGACAGGCAGCATGTAGTACTGTATCTCCCACAGGCCTCAAGAGGTGACGGGGCAGCTAACCTCTCCGTGAACTGCCCTGCTGAGGTCCTGTTACCCTTAAAGCAATGAAAAGCCTCACCTACGACATGTGGTTCTGCTGGGCGGCCAGGTTTTGCTGCTGCTGTTGCTGAATGAGGAGCTGCTGCTGTTGGCGTCTGCGGGCGGTGCGAAGCTTCTCGAACCTCGCCTCCATCTCCTCCAGGACTTTAGGGGTGTAACGCACCACCAGTTTGACGCTGTCCTTGGCTGCTTTCAGTAGCTCCACTGCTTTTTCGTGGTGTTCACCCTCGACACTCTAGGAAAAAGAATTCAGTAATTGGTTTTTCAGAGCAATCTGTGGTTGTTCATGTCATCTAATTCAACGGACCAAACGTGTATGTCTAAGTTCAATAGTTTGTTGATGACTGCTGCAACTTTATTGCATCCAAACCCATACTGTAGTTTTGTCAGCTCAAAACTGCACTAGAAAATGCTCCACGGTGATGAACATTCAATTACATTTTGGCACAAAAGAGCCATTAATTTCCTATTAGCTCAGGAACCGTAACATGTTTGGTTTAATGAGAAATTGCTTCTCAAATGCTGTCATAAAACGCTTTCCTATTACAGTCTTTGACGCAAATGAAATCAAATGGATCCTTTCTGAAGTCTTCTGTCCTCTTTGAGCGAGAAAACAGTGGACATTAGTTTCTATAAACTAAAATTACTCCTTCATGTAATAGAATTGTAACAAACTTGAATGATGGCAGAGAAGAGAAAAGCAACTGGCTTCAAAAGGCTTGCACTGCAGCAGTGACTCAGAGCGCTTTATAAGAGCAGACAGCTTTTTTTTACTGAAAGATTCATTCGGATTCAGTCAATGATTAATTCTCATCTGGCTCCAGTCTGACACATTTTAAACATTTACAGTGAATTATGAAAAGATAAAGTCTTTTGAAATCTGTCTTTTTCAGTTTTAGATACAGTCCTGCTGTAAGTTTTCTGTCTTGTTTGTCCAGTTTTATTATTTTAAAATGTCAAGCTTAGCCTAAGTAAAATTAAAGATTAGATTCAGTCTCTAATGGGTATGAGCTGCAAAAATTGATTTATTAGCGTATTACGCCATGATGCAATCAGCCTTGTAGACTGTTGGAAATGTTTGTTCATTGAGATCAATGTAAAAATCCTTCTGCCGTAATAATCTCACTTCAGCCCAAAATGATCTGTATCGATTAAAAAGCCAGTGGGCCCTCTAGCATGAAGGCATCTTATGTGACAGCTCTACACAGCTGAAAAATTCATCCCCTAAAAATTATAATTTTATTTTATTGCACAAACACTTAAAGGGATAGTTCACCCAAAATGAAAATACTCAAGTTTTCCAAACCTGTATGACTTACTTTCTTCTGTTGAACACACACAAAAAAATATATTTTGAAGAATGTTGGCAACCAAACAGTTGACTGTAGCCACTGACTTATTTTATACACATTTGGAACAACTTATTACAGAGTTAGAATTTTTGGGTGAACTATCCCCTTTAAGTTTTCCCCCCACACCTGTCAACCTGTCAACATCAGTCATGTAAAAAAAATACCCTGATGTTCACCGATCCTTCCTTTGTACATTTAATGATAAGTGAGCTATGCGCTGACAGGTCATTCCTACTATGCAGTAACTTTTCATGTCCCCATCATGTATGTCTAAATATATTAGATAAGTAAAAATAGAAATGTATTTTAATGATTATGCTACTTTAGTTTAAGGGGATGTTGCCATTTCCCTGGCTTCTAATTTGGACAATTTGAAACTTATTAAGAAATTAATGCTTATTTAGGTTTTCCCCGTGCCCTAACTAACATAAACCTGTTACTTAATGGTTAGTTCACCCAAAAATTAAAGTCCTGTCATCATTTACTCTTCAATCCTCAAGTTGTTCCAAACCTGTATAACTTTCATTCTTCAGCTGAACACAAAAGAAGATGTTTTGAAGAACATTTGATGACCCTATTTACTTAAAATTTTATAATTTTTTTTCATACTATGGAAGACAATGGGGAAAATCAATTGTTTAATTACAGTTTATGTTCAACAGAAGAAAGCAATTCATACAGGTTTGGATCAAACTGAAAATGAGTAAATGATAAAAGAATTTTCATTTTTGGGTGAACTATTCCAGTAATGTTACCGTCCTCTAGGAAGTGATTATGTTTGATAATCACAAGTATCAGTGAGTATTAACAATGCATAACAATCCACCCTATATATATATATATATATATATATATACAGTATCTCACAGAAGTGAGTACACCCCTCACATTTTTGTATATATTTTATTATATCTTTTCATGTGAAAACACTGAAGAAATGACACTTTGCTACAATGTAAAGTAGTGAGTGTACAGCTTGTATAACAGTGTAAATTTGCTGCTATATATATATATAAAATATATATATTTAAATAACCTAACTTCAGTTACTTTTGAGTTAACACCCTCATGACTTTTGCTTTATTTCCATCCTGTTAGGTTCCATCCAATTATGCATCCTATTAATTTTCTTGCTATTTTGCAAATAACCACGTTTCAGTTACTAAAGTTTAATTGCTTGAGCTTTACATCTTGTACCTTTTCATAGAAATGCATCCTTAAATTACACACATGCATATTCCTTTTACAGAGTTACAGAATATGAAAGATCCTGCATACTACAACTCACCACTCCATTGACAGACAGTAGTTGGTCACCTCTCTTAAGACCCCCATGCCTCTCAGCCACGCCCCCTGGGATGATGCGGGAGATGTAGATCGGTGAGTTCTGCTCTTTTCCGCCCATCACATTGAAGCCAAGCCCCTCATCTGTCTTGGGCAGTTCCACCACCCGCGGGTGAGAATGACCCTCACTTGCTGCAAATGCCGCCACTGTGGCCTGGTAGAAACCAAAGAGTTCAAAATATCAGTGAATGTGAAACATGACTGAGAAATATTGATAGACCAGTAAATTGTCAAGGCTTATTAACAAAATAATATTTTGAGATGTTTAAAATTTGTGATTGCCTTTTGATTGAAGTATCTACAAACAGTTTGGGGGTGAACAGCAAGGGGTAAATCACACGGTTTAATTCAAATTTCCCGAAGAGATACGATCACTTGATATGATATGATATGATATGATATGATATGATATGTTTTTTTTTTATATGGTTATAAATATGGTCAACGTGTATACATGTACTAAATGGAAGCTTAGTCTTCAGAAGACTGAATTAATTTTACAATGTCTTTATTAATTTTTTGAAGCTTGAAAATGTTGATAGCTAAACTTTAAATGGACTGACAAAAATTATGAGAAAATATAAAAAATATTCATTTGTGTTCCTAAAATGAACAATAGTTTTATGGGTTCAGAACAACATGAAGGTGAGTGATGACAGAATTTTCATTTTTGGGTGCACAAAAACTTTAATACTTAATGTATCTTTTCTGTTGTGATATATCAACAAACTTTGTGGTAGGCTATTAAAACATTGCTCTTTTTGTCTGAAAATCTTAACCAGTCCAACACAGCAACACTGGCTTAACCAATGGAGTCACATACTTTATCTTTAAAACATAGCAGTGAGGGACATTTCAAACATGGATGGTTTTGTGAGCAGTTGTGCATTGTACCTTATGTATTGGCTAATATATACAAACCTGCTCTCTAGATATCAGTTTCGAGCACTTAAAAAACCATAACAGTTGGCATTATTAAGAACAAAGGATCTTCTTTGCATTCAAGACAGCAATTTTTATTAGCTGATGGCATGAGGCCCCTTTCCCTTGAAACACATTAAGGTGGATTGATATTCAAGAACCGTCAGCCTCAATATGCACTTTCAATGCTACATTCTTAAAAGCCAAATTAAACAGCTCCACTTTGGCTTTATAGAGGCTTTACCTTTAGATGGACTCTCTTAGACTTTGGTCTAGTCAAAAGCGGATATACAGTATTAGCAAAAGGAAGGTGTCCAGATGTCCTCATACTTTTGGTCAGGGAGTACACCCCACAACGTTTTTCCACAGCTTCTGAGAATATGTCAACATGTTCTGTTTGTGCTGTAAATTCAGCAGAAAGAGAAACTGCATCCGATAACCTGCACTGCTGCCTGCACTGTCGTCTGAATTTTGTTAGCCAAGCACAACCACCAGGAAACAGAGAATGTGAAGGAAGACAAAAGCACTTCCTGCTGATCCACACTGTAGCTACAGGTGCAGCACTGTGGGGCCCCTCTCATTATTAAGGCATTCACACACAGGAAACGGTGAGAAAAAAATGCCAATGATTTTTGGAGACTTTGCAAGGCGCCAGATTCCCAAATGGCAATCCAAGCAGTTTTCTGATCTCTGAAACTGAAAGAACAGCACCTTCCCTGTCTGAGTGTTTCGTGTCACACTGAAAGAAATGCTGTTTGAAAGTGTTCTGCATGCAAGACACCCTCTTTCCAGTTTCTCAACCTTCACAGCTACATCCTCTCTGAGGAAAAAATAAGTAGATATATAACAAACATTTTTGAAGCCTGGACTCTTTCATTTGCTTTGTTGAATTGTAAATCATCAGGTTGCTGATGATTAAAAGATTTAAAAAATGACATTCTTATTAAATTGATAGTTCAACATTTACATTTTGTCCAAAGCAACTTACATTGCATTCAACTTTATACATTTCATCAGTACGCTGCATTCCCTGTGAATAAAACCCATGACCTTGGCATCTACTGTGAGTTACTGGAATGCATGAAGTCCAGCAAAAAAACTGAAAATCGCCATTATTTACACACTCTTGTGTCATCTCAAACCTGTCTTGTTTTATTTTTTTTCATTGAAAGAAGTTGAAGAATCTTCATGTGACTCCATCAATAGTTCATTCAACTGCATGAGCATTTTTCAGAATTTCTCCATGAACATATGGGTTGACACGAGGGTAAGTAAAAATGACACAATTGTAATTTGGGTGAACTATCCATTTAATGCCACCTGAAAGAACTGTAGGACATCAGATAACCCAGTACTCACATTATTCTGAGCAATGGCCCATTCAAGCTCATTGTACGCCTTACAAATTGCATCTTAAATAATGACATATTCTTCACAAAGAATGTCCTGTGGTAATGAATATTGGCTTTTAACATTTACATCAGCAATACACTTGGTGTATGGAGCCGACTGGAGCTCATTGACAGTTGCTGCAGGGGATCCCAAAGGATGACTCGGGCTGTTCTTCATCCTATTTATGTGTCATCGATTGAAAACTGTCCCAACGGCACGCAGATGCAAGCTGCTCACACATGCTAATTGCCCTTTTGCCTAGTGATTTGAGTCCAGTATGCTTTTTGAAACCTGTAGTAACTTTTCAAAGTGACCAAGCGAGGTGCTTTGAGGCACTCTAAGACTTTTGTAATTTACATCCTGCATTAGAACTTTAATTGATATGCTAATTCTGCTCATCTGGTGAGACCTGCTTGCTGAGCATATTAATTACACTAAGCACTGCTGTTTTCTGTATGATTGCCATTGTCATAGTATAGTTCCATATTATTACAGCACCACTCAAATGAGTCATACTGTTGGTTAAAATTATTGCTTTGTTTTCATTATGTTGAAATCAAAAGCCTATACGTCACAGACAATAACTGCATCAGTGTCTAAAAAGTAGCAAGTGTCATTAAAAATGTATTATAACACTGAATCAATGACAAAGACTTTAAATCATAAAAAATTCTGAAAGCGTATGCTGTGCATGAATTGCCAACCAATCAAGAGATTAGGCAGAGGAACGTCATTTTAGATCATAAAACCGTGATATCCTAAAACCAAAATATAAGTCACCTCTAAAACTTGTCCTTCAGCAATGATAGGATGAGGGCCTAATTAAATATTAAGGTCATGAATTTGTTTCTCATTTTATTTTTCCCCTGAGGCCCACTTATAATGTTAGTCAAGGTTGTTTTGCACCCAAAAACTCATAATTGACCCTTCACTATAGCTCCATCCTCCTTGGTTACTGATGTTCGCCAACACGAGCTTTAAAAATGTCCTAGAGTAGGAGTTCTCAAACTTTTTGGGGCCAGGGACCCCTTACAGGCGAGAAAATTTTCCAAGGACCCCTTCATAATTATAACAGTGTCAGAAATATGGACTGTCTGTGTTGTGTTTTTCTCCCCATGTGCCTTCCATGACCTAGTTTTCCCTCGTGTGTGACATGCCCATATTTGGTTTCCTTCCTGTTCCTGTTCCTGTTCCTATTGTGTTTCATTGAGTCCAGGTGTGTCTCGTGTACTTAAGTCCAGTGTTTCCTGTGTCTAGCGTGCTGTGTTAAATGTCTTAACCCGATGCTGTGTGTGTCTCCTGGCTACCCTGTGTTTTTCCCCAGTTTGAACTATTAAAGACTGTTTTCCTTCAACTCCTTCGTCTCCACGCTCCTTCGTTCCTCCACAGTAGCAGTTGTGACAGAACACAGCACCGACTAAATATTTTATTTGTGTCGTTCCCCTCCGTTTATTTTTTGCGTTTTTTCAGTGATTGTTTTCTGTTTTCCCCGTGTGCCCCATGGATTCCCTCGCTGTAAAGTTTACCTCCCTCGCCCACAAGGACCTTTCCCTCTTGAAGTATGCTGTGGAGTTCAGCCAGCTCGCCGTTTTAATGGCGTTCGACGACGCTGCGCTGAACTCCCTGTTCTGGATCGGGGCCAACTACTACCGCCCCGTCGACCTCCCAGACACCACCGGACTGTGCTGGAGGGAGGCAATCATCCGGTGTCTGGAGAGCGTCTACCCCCGATCCAGAACACAGCCACACCCAGTGCCCAGCCCACCATCTCTCCACTGCGTGGAGCTTAAGCCCGAGCCCACCGATGACGGAGAGCCCGAGCCCGTGACGACCGACGAGCCATCGCCGCAAGGAGCGGCAAAGCTGCGGTGCCTGAGCTGCTGATGATGTCAGGTGCGAGAGCCGGCTACAACGCCCGCCACGAGGGAGAAAGCCGTGGACAGAGTGAGCGTGGAGAGGAGCTCCACCCCCTGCACCGTGGCTGAGGGTGAGCTGAGAAGGGATTTGGGTGAAGAGTAAGCGGAGGAAAATGTAATTGACTTATATACCAACCTGCCCCCTTTCCTCCCTCCTCCGTCGGTGACCTCTGTCCCTCTCGTTCCTGAGTTTAGCCCAGAGAGGGCACCTGTTCGCACGTCCAGCCCAGAGAGGGCTCCTGTTTCCAAGTTAAGCCCGGAGAGCCCGGAGGCTTACAAATGCCCAACCACCTACCCACCCACTCCTGCCTCCTCCACCACTGTCGTCTGGCAGCCCCTCTGCTTGCCCTCAGCCCACCATCAGTACGGTGCGAGCTCTGCGGGTCTGCCATCCTCCATCGTCACAGTGGCTGCAGAATCCCTGGCCTCCACCTCCAGCCTCTAAGCCCCGGACTCTGCCTCGGCCCGTCGACCCAGTGGCTCCACCATGGCTCCTAGCTCCCTCCTCTCTGCCATGGCCCATCAGTCCACTGGCTCCACCGGGCTCCCTCGTCCCTCCGGCTCCGCCTTGGTCTGTCGTCGACCATCCTTCGCCTCGGGACTCCACTCCTCTGGCTGCACCTTGTTTCCTCCATCCCTCTGGCTCCGTCAGGCTCCTCCTTCCCTTCGGCTCCACCTTGGTCCTCTGTCGCTCCGGAGCCATCAGTTCCACCTCGGCCCTCCGGATCCTCCTCGTCACCCTGGCTCATCAGCTCTCCGCCTCGGGCTCCTCCGCCACCTGCTCCGCCGCCATTGGTCGGCCCCCTGGAGTTGTCAGCCCTTCCTCCTCCATGGCTCCTCCCTCCGTCGGCTCCACCGTGGATCGCCATTAACACTGTGGCCTGGGTCCCACCTGGCGCCGCATGCTCCAAATCCCTCCTGTCAT